CCATTGCCTCTTTCGCTTGACCTCATACACCTCAGAACTGTACTAATTTTAGTACACCCTTATGAACTTTAGCATACAACATTGGTCCATTCATACAAAGTGTCTCCCTGCTATTAGTTCTCCGTCCATATCTTTCTCCTGAGGTAGGAAGATATATGACAATATTAATAATCTTTCTTATTTTGTATTGCCAAGCTAATTCTCTATCACAATTTCTTATGGGCCTTTAGAATCTTTTAATAGCCAATAACCTTCTTAGAATAAGTATATTAATTATTGAATTATTAGTACAAATGGTTCTTTAATAAGCAATATTATTATATTTATTGTATAATATTCTCTTGTTTATTTGTCTTTCTTTTTTCTCGAGCTAATTTTAATTATTATTTATACTGATTGTGACATGTCTATTAGGCTACCATCACATTATACAAAATAGACTTTTGACTTATTAACTTTCTAATTTCTAATCTGTTGTATCATATCAAGTTATATGACTATCAATAATCTGGATTATCCCACTCATTTTTCCTTCTAACAATATCTTTAAAAATAAATTAATAAAATGTTAAATTATATAAAACAATTATTATTATTTTTTTTTTTATAATAGAATAGGCTTAGATACCAATTATTTTATTGATATGAGAATCATTGATTTACATTATATATCTTCTATAGTACTAGACTACAGCTAATACTAACCTACTCTACTTCTTAATCTTAACTTATAAACTTATATTCAAGGTAGGCTTATTTTATGTTATGGTGTAACTAATCAGGAGATAGAAATCTTGCCACTAGTATAAAAACAATTATTTATTAAATTATAATTAAAATAGAATTATAAAAAAATTGTAAAATTTTAAAATAAAATAATAAATTTTTTAATATATATTTTTTTAAAGTTAATTATATCATTAAAAAATTTGATTTAAAATAAGATTACAAAAAATTTTTTTAAAATTTTATTGTTTCTAATTTTAATTAATAAATTTATTAAAAAATTATATATATAATGATCACAAAAAAGATCCAGACTTTTCTCATGACTAATAAAAAACTTGTAAAATAGACTTTATTTGTGTAAAAAAAAATTTGTGAAAATGACGACAATTGTCATAAAAAAAAAATACATAAATATCAATAGTCAGATTTTTTTTCCTCCCTCTCAATTACTTGTTCAAGATGATTTTTCATACTACTTGCTAATTAAGGTAGAGGTTTTGATCTAAATTGTCCTATTCTTTTTAAATAATTGATCAAAAATCAGTAGTGCCAAGTTTTTTTTTTTATAAGCCTATTGTTTACTGTTTTCTCTATTCTATTTTTTAGTATAGCCTATAGGTTCTTTATGGAATTCAGATTAGGCAAATTTGAAGGCCAGTCGAGCATTCGAACACAGTGATCTTTGAAAAGCTAATGTGTAACCTAAGCCGTATGGACAGGAGAGTTGTCCTGCTGGAAATACCAGCCACGACCTGCTCACGAAGCATTAGAAAAAAAGTGAGTTTCAAGAATTTCGCAGTATTTTTGTAAGTTAAGGTTTTCTGTAAATAAAACTAATGCGATTGGCCCCCGTGCAGAAAACACTTCCCATGCATAAATTTGAATAGATATTTTACTATGCTATGATGCGGACGTGGGCTTTCATGATGGTATTTTACTTGTTGTGTGTTTCTGAACATTTGTAGTATTGTTTGTCAGAAAAAATCATGCTAGACCACCTGTCTTGCATATGTTCATGGGCCCAGTTGAGATAGGCAACAATGTGGGAGGATTGGAGAAGGGAAACATGTAATAGTTAGCAAACAATATATTGGAGGTCCTTTTTAAGAACTTCTTGGATAGTACAAACTGATATATTTAAGTTGGGGTGGGTTTCATTAAGTCTGGCAATCACTTCAATAATAGTAACCATATTATTGGCTCGTATAAGTTGTTTGAGATGATGATACTCTTTCACCATAAGAATTTTAAGTCTTTTAGGAATGGGAAGTGAAACAAGAGTGTCTTTTTTTTGAGTCAATTTACATGATCATATGTTGTGCTCTTTGGAAAACCTGTAATTCGTACAATTTTGGCAGATTTCCTTATATTATTATTCTATAACTGCCTTATGACCATTCTTTACGCAGCGAGATCAGTGTTGGATGACATTGTTCATGTTTAGTACTAATTTGGTAGCTTAAAATAGTTAGTTATTTATATAAACCAATGCGCATGAGTCATTTAATATAAATAACTCATTACAAAAATATACTTATCCAGAATTCAATTGTCATCACACTTTTTTATATAATGAAACAAAAGTCTGGATCTTTTCTGTGCTCACTGTATATATATTAAAAATATTTAAAAATATTTATATAATATTGACTTATAGATCTATAGTATAGTGGTTAGTGTTTTACAGATCAGATCACAAGATACCAGTTCAATCCCATGTAAAGTAATTGAATAGAATTCATATGGTATCTGGCACCATAATCAATTATGTGCTGTTTTTTATAAGAAGCCATTTCACATGCTGATTCAGTAGGCATTGAGATTATAATTTTTCCGTTAAGATGTAGTAGTGTAATGATTGTCCAGTTGGTGTTATAATGACCATTTAATGAAAGATGCTGCCACTTATTTAAATATACAGACTGGGCTGTACTCCATCTTATCTAATCTTATCAACCACCAAAAACAATCATTTATTTGGATATACAGATTGGGCTGTACTCTATTTTATCAAACCCATATAACAATTTTCTATTAGCTAGTGAATAAAGAAGCTTTAAAGAAGAGTACTGAATTGACACTAATATTTTGTATGACATGATTATTCTAATGGCTTATTATGTATATAGGAGTTGTATTCTGCTTAGCATTTATGCTCCTAGATTTGACAGCCTATACCAATTAGTTTCAAACTGGAGTGTCTATTAGAAGATAAGAAACTTGGAACTAATCTATATAATCCTTAGAAGTTATATCACACTTGGCTATAAGAGCCTCTAGATTTGACAGCAAGAGTCAATCAGTAAACCAAAACTGAAGCATTTGCTAGGGAGTACATATCTATGTTAAGGCCTTTCTGTCATATTAGCTGCATGAGTAAAAAGATATAATGTGATAAGCAATTTTAGAAAATAGTTAGCAATATTTACTGCCCTTATTAAAAAATTGAACTAATAGGTTAGATGGTTTAAACTATTAATAGGACTTCCATCTCTTAGATAGGTTTTTCTTAAAAATATGAATCTATTCTGTGAATGTTACTAGTATTACTGGATAATAAATAGATAGACTAGTATTTAATTGTTATAATAACAATAAATGATGTTTGATATTGTAACATGGAAAAGTGTTGATACATATGTTACTAACATTAGTTATCAAGACATGTTGCATGCCATAAAACAAGTTATGATAAGACAATAGCCAATACATATGAAAATGGAGGCTTTGATAGAAAATATTGCATAAATAAAAAAAGATTGGGAAAAGTCACATGCTATGATTTTGCTTAGAAAAATTAAGTAATTATATAATCTAATATTTTCTATATTTTTTAATGCATCATTTATACTAATTATCGGTATTTCAATACTATCATCCATTTCCATCTCATCTAAATTATTATTTTCTTCTTGCTTGAATGTATTTGCGAGCTCTGCAATAATATTATCATCATTAGGAAATTCATAGGTAATATTTTTTTCAGGAATCATAAGAAATTCTTCGATATTCATCTTATTTGATAAATAGAGAGAATTAAATGTTATAATAAAGTCATCGTCATCATTAATATTATTGATATAACCGGTATCACCAGTATTATCATTTTTGCCATTAGTATCGTTGTCATCATCACTAGCATTGTCACCAGAATCATCACTAGTATCGTCGCCAATATCGTTGCCAGTATCATTGCCAATATCGTTGCCAGTATTGTTGCCAATATCGTCGCCAATATCATCACCAGTATTGTTGCCAGTGTTATTATTAATATCGTTACCAGTTTCTCTGGTATTGCTATTATCGGAAAGGATCTTTGTGTGATGCCAACAATTATAAATGGTTTCGGGTGTGATTTCTTCCCAACTTTTAATAATAAATTCGATCACTTGTAAGATGTTCATTTTTAAATCCTGAATAAATTGACCTGCTTCAACTTGTTCCAATATCCAACTAAAAACGGTGTGAAAAAAAGAGCGAAAAAAAAGTGAAGGCGAAAAATGAACAAAAAAATAAGTGAGAGTGAAAAAAATAAGCGAAAAAATAAGTGGGATGGAAAAAATAAGTGAAAAAATAAGTGGAGGCAAAAAAAAATAAGCGAAAAAATAAGTGGGTGTGAAAAAATGGGTGAAAAAATAAGTGAAGGTGAAATAATGAGTGAAAAAATAAGTGAAGAAAGATGGAAGAGGGGATGGGAGAGATGAGCGAAAAAATGAGTGAAAAAATAAGTGAAGGGGATGGGAGAGATAATGAAGAGGAGCAGGAGGGATAAACGAAAAAATAAGTAAAGAGGGATGGGAGAGATAATGAAAAGAGGCGGGAAAGATGAGCGAAAAAATAAATGGAGGAGTGAAAGGTATAAGCAAAAAAATAAGTGGGGCAAAAAAATGAGCGAAAAAATAAGTGGGACAAAAAAAATGAGCGAAAAAATAAGTGGGGGCAAAAAAAAGAGCGAAAAAATACGTGAGGTGAAAAAAAAGAGCGAAAAAATAAGTGGGGGTAGAAAAAATAAGTGAAGGTGAAAAAATGAGCAAAAAAATAAGTGGGATGAAAATGAGCAAAAAAATAAGTTGGGCGACAAAAAAAATAAGTGAAAAAATAAGTGAAAGGAAATGGGAGAAACGATGGAGAGGGGCGGAAGGGATGGGGAAAACAATGGAGAGGGGCGGAAGGGATGAGCGAAAAAATAAGTGAAGGCGAAAAAATAAGCGAAAAAATAAGTGGGGGTAAAAATGAGCGAAAAAATAAGTTGGGGCGACAAAAAAAAATGAGTGAAAAAATAAGTGAAGAGGGATGGGAGAAATGATAGAGAAGGGCGGAAGGGATGGGGGAAACAATGGGGTGACAAAAAAATAAGCGAAAAAATAAGTGAAGGGGATGGGAGAAACAATGAAGAGGGGCAGAAGGGATGGGGAAACAATGGAGAGGGGCAGAAGGGATGGGAAAACAATGGAGAGGGGCAGAAGGGATGGAGAAACAATGGAGAGGGGCAGAAGGGATGAGTGAAAAAATAAGTGAAGGCGAAAAAATGAGTGAAAAAATAAGTTGGGATGACAAAAAAAATGAGCGAAAAAATAAGTGAAGGGGGATAAGAGAAACAATGGAGAGGGGCGGAAGGGATGGGGGAAACAATGGAGAAGGGTGGAAGGGATAAGTGAAAAAATAAGTGAAGGCGAAAAAATAAGTGGGGGTGAAAATGAGCAAAAAAATAAGTTGGGGCGACAAAAAAAAATGAGCGAAAAAATAAGTGAAGAGGGATGGGAGAAATGATGGAGAGGGGCGGAATGGGTAAAATAAATGAAAAATAAATGGAGGGGAGTAGGAGGGATAAGCGAAAAAATAAATGGAGGGGAGCAGGAAGATGAACGAAAAAATAAATAGATTAAATAAAATATAATTGTTTAAGAAAAAAAATAATAACAATAAAATAAAGTTAAAGTATAATTATCAGATTTGATATCGACGATAATGTCTTTTGAATACTATAATTATTCCAAAATCCATGGGTTGAATTTTAGATGTGGTATTTGGAGGAAGAAATTGTATATCAACGCATTGAAGATTCAATCCTTCTATTTTATGACTCGCACAATTGTCAAGAAATAAAAGTATTCGTTGACCTTTATATTTTCGTATCATTTGATTATCAAACTCTTTAAGCCATTCTTGAAAATGAACAGCTAGCATCCATGCTTTAGCACTATTTCGATATGTAATGGATAAATTTTGAATATTTATGTTTTTAAAATATTGTGGATTAGCAAATTTTTCTATGACCAAAGGATATAATTTATACGATCCATCAGTATTTGCACACAATGCAATGGATAATCATTCTTTATTTTTTTTACATCCTGAAAGACGCGTGTAGCTAAAGTTCGATCTGGTTCTAATCTGTATTAATTATTATGTTAATAAATTATGTAAATAAAATATAAATTAAAAAAAAAATACAACTTACCGATAAAAAAGACCAGTTTCGTCCATATTATAAATTCTATTAAGTGAATATTGAGAGCATTTATCTTGTAGGTGTGGTAATAATTGAATAATTGCATCTAAATTTGCAGATGCTTCTTTGCCATGAAGTTTTTTAGAATAAATTCCATTTCATTTTTTAAATTTATAAAGCCACCCAGGAGAATATTGTAATTCATCTTCTAAAATATTTAATTCTTGTACTAATTTTTTTGCTTTTTCTATCAATAATGCATCACTTAAGATAACCTTATCTTGATAAATAAGAATAAATTCTTTTAAAGCTAATTCAAAATTTGGAAAAGTAACTGGTTTGTGTCGTTTTATATTAGAATTTTCAAGCCATTCTTTTTTTTTTTGAAGAATTCTTGTAATAGTAGATAAATCAACTGTTATTTTCCATTTGGTTTCAATCCAACTAATATATTCTTTTCTTGTTTTTTTGTTATTATATGTATAAAGACAAAATTCATGTTTTTGAGCATTAGAAAGAAAATTTTTTTTTTTTTTAGATGTCATAATTAAAGTTACGAAAAAAAATTTTTTTTATAAAATTTTATTTTAAATAAGATCTGATAATCTATTACAATATATACTATATATGATGCATTTCTAGAATAAAAAATATATAAATGATTTACAAAATTTATTGCATGTGTAGAATATAGAGGGTACATCTAATATTATATCCCCAACTTGGGACTATACCTTAAGGTATATTAAAAGAAGAAATGCATTTATGAAGGGTGCATTTAAGGAAGATTCTCTATATTTGATAAGTTTTTATTATATATTAGTTTTATTATTTATAATATTTTTTAATAAATTTTAATATAGGTTCTTTATCAAAAAAAAACTCTTTCCCGTACACAACTTTTTTTACAAAAACTTCCTTTTTTAGTAATTTTCTTTCAAAATTAAAGAAA